TTAACAGAAATCATAATAAATATAGGAATTTTATTATCAGAAAGCCTTAAATGACTTTGATACTTATATCCTTAAACTCCTTACAAAAAATTCTATTTCAACTTCTCTTGCTGACAAATCAGTTGAAAAAATGTGAATATATCATTTTGCATTTATGATGTTTTTTTTAATATGAGAGATTGAATCATATTACACCTATACACACCTATTGCATAACATGATTTACATGGTCTTGACCAGGTTAATTAAAATGATAATTGGTTTTATTATAAAATTAACAATATGATACTATTATTAAATCTTATGAATCAAAGTGAGTATCTAAAAGAAGAGGTTATGGGCTAGTTAATATATATAAACTTTGGCTAAATTTCAATCTAGACTCCAATTTAAATCAGTCTATAAATTGGTTTACTGTTTGATTTTATTTCAAACTGATAAAAATTTGGTAAATAAACAAACATGTGACTTTGTATGACTTTTTTTTAAAAAAAATAATGGTCATTTAATAATAAATTATTTGTCTATCTACGGTAAATTTTCTATTTACAAAATATTTTGTGTTAAAAGAAATCAGTTATCTAAAGAATCTATTACAATGTTAAAATCTTTTTAAATTAATAATTCTGGCCGAAATAATTTTGGCCAAAATTATAAACGCATAATTTATTTTGTTACCATGCATAATTTGGAATATTTTTAGTTACTTTTTTTTAACTAAAAAATTAGTAAATTTCGAAACCATTTTGACAAATTCTTATAGTAACTAACATGAATACAAAACTCAAAGATAAGGTTTTATTCGTTAGTGGTGCTTCTAGGTAAAATAAAAAAATTCTCATTACAAGTAATTATCTATCATTAATGATTGAAAATTAAAATTCAAATTTTAGGGGAATAGGTTTGGCAATAGCAGTGAGAGCTGGAAAAGAAGGAGGGTAAGTTGAAGATATAATATCAGCGATTAAGCAGGTTTTAATACGTATTTAATATAATTTAGAAGGGTCGCCGTTGCCGCAAAGACAGCTACGCCACATCCAAAGGTGAGATAAATATTTCTTTGCGGCGCATGAAAAATCAATGCCTTACACCAATAATGTTTTCAAGTTGCCCGGAACTATATTCACTGCCGCAGAAGAAATTGAACGTGCAGGAGGAAAGGGTATTGTATTATTCACGTGATCAATTTCGTTAAGATGCATATATTCATCACTCACTTCAAAAATAAATAAATAAATAAATAAATATTATAGCTCTTCCATTGGTATGTGACATCCGTGATGAAGAATCTGTTAAATCCGCTATACAAAAAACTGTGGAAAAATTTGGTGGAATTGATATCGTTGTTAACAATGGTATGAATTGAATTCTATGTGATCTTAGAAAAAGAAAAGGTTTATGGGTTTTTTACACGTTAATTTTCTATTCATAATAGCTTCTGCAATTTCTTTGACCGATACACAAAATACGACCCTCAAAAAATATAATCTCATGCACGAAATCAATGCTCGTGGTACTTGGTTGGTGACAAAAGTACGGATTATCATAAATTCAATGTATTTACGCATTTAATGGTAACTCCTTTTTTGCTTTATAGTATGCGCTTCCGTATCTTATCGAAAGCGGAAGAAAAAATAGAAATCCTCATATATTGAACATTAGTCCGCCACTTACCATTAAAGAACAATGGTTTTCGGGCCACGTTGCATACTCAATTGCTAAATATAATATGTCACTATGTATTTTAGGATGGGCTGGCGAATTTCGTGAACATAGAATTGCGGCAAATGGTATTATTCAAGTCCCATTGATTAATTTATAAGAAAAGTTTATTTAATTTATTAATTTATTAAATAAATTGTTATTATTCATTAGCGCTTTGGCCAGTTACCGCAATCGATACTGCTGCTCTGAATATGTTGGATAATTTGTTGGCATCTAAATCTCGAACACCTCAAATTGTAGCAGATGCAGCTCAATTGATTCTCACCAAAGATTCCACACATTTCAGGTAATCTTTTTTTTTTTTTTTTAAAGAAATTAGTATTTTGTTATCAAGTAATTTGCTAAAAAAGTATAAATTTTTAGCGGTAATTTTGTCCTTGATGAAGTTATTTTAAGAGAGCATGGCCAGACAGAATTTGATCATTATCTTGTTACACCTGGAAATAGAGATTTAGCACTTGATTATTTTATTGAAGAAGAAGTATTTAACAAATTAAAACTTTTATGGAAGGAAGATGCAAAAAAGAAAGATCCAAAATTATAATTAATAAATTAATAAATATTATAAAATATTTGGTGATTTTAATTTGATTACAATTAAGTTTTTTAAATTTAAAAAAAGGTTTAATTCAATACATAAATGGGATTTTCACGTGATTTAATGATTTACAAATTTTATTTCTATTCTTCCTATTAAACATTTTAAGAACGAGTTTATTGGATTGGTAAATGTATGTGTAAATTTTCAATAGTCTGTTTAGTCCTATTTTAGAAACTCTTCTAATATTTTTTTTTTTATTGAGTCGCTAAAAATTCTATTCAAAAAGCCGGTTTGTACAACATAATTCGTAACACCTATAAATTGTCTTGAAAAAAAAAAGACAAAAAAAAAAACCTATATCGCTTGACTCTCAAGTTTCAATTTTTTAAAAGGAAATTTTTTTTTTTTTTTTTTTTCCAATTTTGATATACCATTTCGTCCGATATTCCATTTATAAATGGGAGAATCCCCTACACAAAAAGAAGGTAGTGCTTTCGAGTGTCTCAACGATGATGTACTGGTATGAATTTTATCTGTGATGATGTAACAATCAATTTTCTCACTAGGAGTTTATTAATCATCGAATTTTTAATAACTTTTATTACATTTAGCATTTAATATTAAATAGCCTTTATGAAGCGTGTCGTTACGAATTTGACCGGTGGGAGGACCCACGCGCAAAGTATGTTAAAGCTGTTAAAGAGTTGTTACCACTTGGGTACACTTCTCGCAGTTTCGCCAAGCTAGTCATGCCCTATGTGTGGCAATACGCACGGATAATTACAAATACTACAGAGTGTCTTCACAACACTCAAATACTTAGTATCTTAAAAAAAGATCATCTCTTATTTCCTTACGGGACTTATTTAAAAGAATTGGAGATTACCTTCACAGTCAATAATGGTGATGAACGTTGCCATATAATTCCTATTATATCATCATTGCTTCAGGTTATAACTAATCGTTGTACCAATATACAACAATTGAGTTTCCTGGCAAAGGTTGGACGTAGAAATTTAAACGAGTTTTCAACTCGAAATATGCATGATGATGATAGTATTAACAAAGCATTTTTTAGGCATGTGATCTCACTCAAAAAGTCATCAAAGTGGAGTACTTTCGGGGAGTTAATTTCTTCAGCATTTGGTCAAGGTACATTGAAGGATGTGACACTAAGTTCAGATTTTGTTCTTGTGAGTGACGATTCTTTAATCATGATAGCAAAAAATAATCGCGGAATTAAAAGACTTTCTTTGAGAGGTTCCCAATTCACGAATGGGGGAATTGAGGCCGCATTAAAATTTCTGGGCGATAATTTAAGGGAATTGGAATTAAATAATTTATTGGGAGATGACAGCCGTAAAGCGTTAAGGTGTTCCCCTTTGAAGATTTGTATTGATACTTTATTGAGATCTTGCAAAAACCTACAAACCATTATCTTGGTCGGCATAGTTTATAAACCTACTGATATATTGGAAGAATATACTTGTCCAATACAGTCTATCACGGCAGACCAAGTTGACGAAGAAACACTTAAGCATCTCTTTTTGCACACTAATAAGCAAACATTATCCCAGGTTAAAATCACTAATCCCTATGACGTGGTCAAATGGGAGTCATTCCTTCGTTATTCAGTTTTGCCTTGCACAAAATCTGGCAATTTGGAAACTCTTATCCTTTACATGTTAAGATGTCGAAATCATCGATATAATTATTCTTCTTTAGATCCAAAAGTTATCATGAAGAACATTATGGATACTTTACAGATATCCGAAAATACAGTTGATTTGCTTTGTTCAGGATTAAACCAGTGGAGAATTTTGGTGGGCAAGGATATAGGAGATCAAATGTATTCAGTTGAATCAGAAGGGGTCGATTTTGTTACTAAAACACGTATATTGGATTACGATAGTTTAGCTCTATCTGAATGCTATTAATGACATTCTCTTCAACATGAACAATCTTTTTTTTTCTTGCTTTCTTTTTTATTGTTTTTGATCAGGCGATGTAAACTCCTTTTGTATAATGTATTTTAAAAACATTTATTCAATTGAAAAAAAAAAAAAAATGAAATTTCTTTTCGTTTTTATAATTACTTTTAGTTCGCTCTCAACACTCATTTTTTTAAAAATATTTCTATTCGAAGTTCATAGGTATGAATTGGTTGATATTCAAAATGACGATCCCAACATGAATGAAAAGAAATATCAATTATTTATGTTAGCGCAGGATTTTATTAATAATGATGTTCAAGGTAATTAATAACATATAACAATTAAAAAAAAAAAAAACTTTTCGATTATTTTTTTTTGTTATTAATGTTAATTCCTTTTTGTTCTTTTTCTCCTTAATAATTTGGGGGTGTCTTTTATTTAATTAAAAAAAAAAAAGGTTAAAAATAATAAAATCTATCATTTTCATGTATATATATAGTTCTGTATTCAAAAAATTTAAAAATTTCTAGATTTAGATTATTTAGAGGGAATAATAAAAATAATAAAAAAATATATTTGTCGAGATATTATGTAATAGGCAATTTTATTAGGTAAACATAACTAACAATAAATCGAAAACAATACCTATCTCCCTCCCATTCTTCTTACGATAAGATTTGGACTGTAGATCACAAGTCATGACTGTATCACCGACAATTTTTTACAAATCACGAGTTCTAGTGAAAAAAAGTAACTGACTTGTTATCTTTTGAAATTTTCGGTACGAATTTTTTGAAATCATGACAAATTCAATAATTGTTGTTAATGGTATCTCTGGTACTAGTAACACCAATAAGATATCCAATATATCAAATGCTTTTAATGATATATCAAAGAAAGTTTTAAGAGCGAATTATCCATCAAAAATAAATAATTCACCACCAAGTTTAGAACAAATTTTAGAAGTTATACTATCAACAAATTTCAATACAAATAATACCTTTACTGAAGATTTATTAGAACTTTTAATTATTGGTTGCCAAACAGTTAATCCTGCTGATGAAGCTTTGACTACAAAGTTCGGTAGAATTATTATTAATTTTTGTAAGAAGCATTTGGTAAGAATATGTATAAAATTATTTAATTCTCATTCTCTTTGAATTGTTTCCTTATATAAATTTTGATTTTTATAGGTTAAACTTAATGATACCTCTTCAGGACAATCCCCTGTAGAAATTATACTTTCATTTTTAATCAAATCTTTTACTAATGCTACTCAACCAGTATATGCCGTCGGCATATTGAGAGCAATGAGTCGGGTTTTATATGAGAATGGGCAAGAATGCAAAAAGGTAACAATTCCCTGTGAAAAGATTTTTTTCGATCCTTTTATTTTTTTTTTTTAACTCTAACATGAATTTCCATTTATTAAAGTTACATGATCAGCTGTTGTATATTCTTTTACCACTTGTTAAAGAAGATAATAAAAACCTCGATATCAGACGAATGGCGATAAATTGTTTAGGAAATTTATGCTATCATACGGGAAATAAATTTCAAGGAAATTATAAAATTGTTTACGAGTTACTTTTGGCTAGTTTAAATTCACCAAATCCTTCCGACGATGAATCAGCTTATCTCAAGGTATTTTAATAAAGATCGATTTCGTAAAACATTTTATCATATTAACCTGGATGATCTATTATTCCAGACCATAAGCAGCACATTGAGGGCTCTACAATTTATTGTGTTGGAAGATAAAAGTGTTTTATCGGAACCTTTTGGTTCAACGATTGAAATAATTAAGAAATATGTCTTCTATAATGTTGATGATATTAAGAAACTTCAAGCAGAAATAGGTGAATTATCATCTTTTATTGTCAACCTCTTTTTTTTTTGATAACAATGTTAAAGGCTTTATTATTTTATTTTTAGTACAGATCAATCTAGAATAGCAGCAGGTAATAGTGTATGCAATTCTAGTCCATCAACACAAAGACATTCAAGAAGGCACAGTCGAATGAAGTCTATTAGTCGTTCAGTTTTGAGTTCCGATTCAGAAATATCAGATGGAGAACACACACAATCTATTTATAAAAGGTAAAAAGTTTGCATCATAATTTACTTAAAAAAAGAAATTCCTTCAATTTAAATCATTTTTCCTTTAGAGATGAAGATTCTCGAATTCGAGCAAACGCGCTCGGCTATTTGCAAAGCATTGCAAAAGTAAGTTATTATCCCAATCGCATCAAATAATGACATAATTCGTGTTAACAATTATCCTTTGTACTTAGGTATCATCAAAGTTGTTGTATCAATATTGGAGCCTTTTCCTTCCTTATACAGAACCTTCTGATTCTTCTCCTCCATCATTGCTTACTATCATTACTTGTGAACCTACGCTTACAGTTCGTATAAGTGCTTGTTCTGTAATCACTACAATGATTGATAGCTCTAAGCAATATTTAGCTGCTGCAGATGATCGGTGAGTGTTTGTGTTATGTCAAATAATGATATTTCTTATGAAAGCAACCTAATCATATTTTATTTGTCTTAGAGAGGTTAAAACTTCTTTCACTTCATTATCTGCGAAATTGGGTACTATTGTACGAGAACTTCATGCTGGATTACTTCAAGTTATTTCGAGAGAAGATCATAATCTTGTTTTAACTCAGTTATTAAAGGTGTGTATTGTAAAATATATTTTTATAAAAAAAAATCTATTTTAACTTTTTTTTTTTTTTTTTGTTTAAAAAATAGTGTTGCAACGTTTTGGCGAGCAATATGGCATATGATAGGTTAACGTCAGGATATCTATCTCGTGTATATTACACAACTGCGAATTTCTTGGTACACAATGGTATATGTAATATTTCGCATTTCACTTTTGTTCACTTATTTACATTTGATTAAAATGAAAATTTCATTATAGAAAATGCTGTTAGACTTGCAACCATGACTTTGATATCTACAATTATGGATTGTAAAACATGTATCAGGGAAGTGGATAAATTGTTATTAGCTGAAATTATCAATAGCGCTTCAGCAAATATCCCTAGGTCGTCATTTTTCCAAAATTATGGGGAAATGAGTCTTTTGTCTTATTTAGTGTTGGTGATTGGAAGTAAAGACCAATCACCTGCTATGAAAATTGAAGCATGGGGAATTTTATGTGCTTGTACTAGAACTCATTTTAATCTAGTCAGGTAATTTAAAAAGCTTTTATTTAGAAAATTTTCCTAAAAAAAAAAAAAAAAAAAAAAAAAAAAAAAAAATTATTTGTTCATTGAGATGATTTGTTTTTATTTCTATATTTTCCTCTAGTCCAGCTTGGAAGCATATAAATCCTTTGATTGTCAATGACCTTGCTTGTGAGGATGAAAAAATTAGAACAGCTGCAATGACTTTTTTGATTGAATATGCTAAAGAACAAGCAGTAGCTTTATGTGGAAGTAGTCAAAACATTGATGAGGATGTTATGGTAAATAATTTGTTTGGCTAATTTTGAATTTATATCTTTATTGATCTATATTTATTCCGTTTAGGTTCAACGCGTTCAGAAAGCGGTTACTTCAGAAGTATTTCAATGGTGGAGTTCCGTATTTGATCAACATATTCAAAGTACCTCAATTGATAAATGTCATGCTGTTAGAGCTTTAACATGTGACTTGATATCACACATTCCATCCGACGTGTTCTCGGAAATATCCGTAAATATATATATATATATTCGTTTTGAAAGTATTAATAATGTTTTGGAGAACATTGCCTATTCTAATATTTAATTGAATTATCAGATAGAGAAGAGGAAGTATTGTATTAAAATATTATTGGGATTTTCTAAAGACGAAAGTCCAAATGTTAGAGCATCTGCATGTAGAGGACTTGGTGTTTATATATTATTTCCTTGCTTACAACAGGTATACAATCATACATTAATTACTTTCATAAAAATATATATTAATACCTTTTTCTATTTAGGACACAAAATTTGCTTCAGATATGGCACTTTCGGTTATTCAACAAATGTCAGATCAAAATATTTTGGTTAGAATTAGAAGTAGTTGGGCATTAGGAAATCTGTGTGACACGATAGTGTTATTAAGGTAAATGACATCAGTAACGATTTTTTTTATTCAACATTAACCATTATTACATTTATTAAAATAATTTTTTGATATTAGTAACCCAGACAATAATCAAGGGATATCAAATAATAATACAAATTTGACCGAATTCTTGATTAATGTTATGTGGGCTAGAATAGTAAAAGCAGGATTAGCAGCTTCCAATGATAAAAATGAAAAAGTGAGACCTAACGGAGTCAGAATGTTGGGCAGTATAATTCACGTTAGTCCAACAAATTTCTTGGAGAGGGAAGAAAGGGGATTAATAAAAGATGTTGTAATGACTTTAATTAAGAACTTTGAAACAGGAACTTTAAAAGTATGTTTTATATTAACTAATGTCGCTTTTCTCAAATACTACCAAAACGCTTACACTTTTTTTTCATAAAAAAAGGTTCGATGGAATGCGTGTTATGCAGCAGCAAATATGTTGCGTAATCCAAACTTTCCTATAGGGTTAAGATCCAACAATTGGTCAATACCACTATATGAATCATTAATAAAGGTAGTACAAACTTCAAAAAATTTCAAAGTTCGTATTAATGCGTGCTTGGCATTATCAACACCAACGACTCGTGCTAAGTACGGTGGCGATACTATAATGTTAAGTAAAATATTACAAGCCGTTGTAACTTCATTAGAAAATGTTGATAATTTGACTGGTACTGGTTTTAGTGAAGTTAAATATCAAGAACAATTAAGAAATCAGGTAAGAAATTTTATATTTAAGAATCGTTTAGGAAGGTATGATTATGCTTAGATAATTAATCAAAATTATTTCTTTTTTTTAATTTAGTTGCTGAATACTTATCATCATTTAATTAATATTTCTTCCGTAAATGATAAAAGATTCATTGAGTCTTATATTCAAAGAGTTAATGAATGGAAAGAAACTCGACCGGAATATTTAGATGAACAACATGGCTGTGATTAATTCCCCTATTGATATGTTTCTTATTCTTTTAATTATGGAGTTTGTAAATTCAGTTTTATTATTTTAAATAGATTTTTTTTTGTATTTAAGGACGAATTAGATTTCTCTCTCTTTTTTTTTTTTTTTTTTTTTTTTTTTTAAATTGGAATTAAAATTTATGTGATGTAAACTTGATGAATTAGAGGTTACCTTTTTGAATATTTAAATAGAATAGGATCGTATTTTTAAAATCAGAAAATAAGTATTTTTATTTCCTTAGTTAATTGGAATAAAAAGTAAAAATTTTTTTTTTTGAATTATTGTTACGCAGCAGAATTCATAAATAATGTTCCCGCAGTATAGATAAACGAGTCTTCTTGAAGGTCGAAAATGGAAAAAGCTGATAACGAGAGAAATTCTTGGTTACATTCAAATTCATCCTATCTTGTAAAAAGGATAAATAAATTTGCAATCATCTTAATTCTGGAAACTTTGAAGGAATCGAAAACAATTTTTTTTTTTTTTTTCGCGTCCTATATAAATTGCTTTTGCAGTAAAAAAGAAGAAAACTACAAAAAAAATTATTTTTTGAGTTAATGAATCTCATAATTATTAAAAGATAAAATCAGCTTTAATAATAAAAAGTGAATCTTTATATATTCAACTCTAATAATAAAATTATATAAGAAACCTATCTATTATCACGTTTCTTATAATGAATTCATATGGTATAATTAACAGAAATGAAATTTTGTTAGATTTTTAGCAAATTTAAGTTATTTAACATTATCTATTAGGAAGAAATAAAATTGTTAGTCAAAACCTATAGGTTTTGTCAAGTCATCTAAATGATAAAAGGTAAAATTTAGCAAAATTATATTAAAACCTTATTAAAAATCTGTGAAATTCAGAAAAAGGTAAAATTATATTAAAACTTATAAATATAGCAATACTATCTCAAAACCTTAGTAAAAAAATTAGCAAAACTAAAGGTTTAGATGTTTTACCAAATCCAAAAAGGATTTAAACAAGCAACACTAGGAAGAAATTTAAAACTTTAAATCTAGTTTAATTGTAATATGCATAATATTTTATTCTAATTTAATATTAATAAAAGTATATTTAAAGCTCTGAACAGTTTAGATTAATCTGAAGATTTTTCAGATCAGTTTAGTTCAGATCAGTTTCAGATTGCATAAATATCGATCTGAAAATTTTCGGTTCATTTCAGATTTTTTTCGAATTATAATTTTAATCCAAACTGAAAAAAATCTGAACTGAACCAATAATTTCAGATTAATCCGAAAGTTCTGTTTGATTATATGCGAAACTCTTAGAGGATCGCAAAATTTGTGAATTCTCTAAGAGGATTGCAAAAATTTAGCGAAACTTAGAGAATCGCAATTTTTTTGCAGTTTTTCTTTGAATTTTGCAAACCTTAAAGAGAAATTCGCGATTTTTTGCAATTCTCCTAGAGTTTCGCATATAAATTGCAAATTTCTTATATAATTGAACTGTAATTTCAGATTAATCCGAAAATTCCAGTTCAGTTCAAATTTTTACCAGCCTGCGGTTCAATTCAAATTCAGATTAGCATTTTTAAGATTAATAATCTGAACTGAACTGAACTGAAATTTTCAGTTCAGATACGGATTGGCATTTAATCCAAATTGAACTGAACCGTTCAGAGCTTTAAGTATATTATAAACATTTTGTGATTAAAAATAATTTAAAAGTATTATAATTGTCTAAAGTGATACTATAAGGTAACTAGAAATAGTAAATTACTATATAATTCTGAAAAAAATACCTTCCAAAAATAAGCTTCTCGCATTATATAAAGTACTAAAAATAAGCATTCCCTCAAAAATGTAAAATTTTTATTAATTTATTAAAATTTAACAATAATTTTAATTATTTATTAATATTATTAATACTAATTATTATATTCAACATTAATATTATCATTACTAAAATTTTTTTTGTCAGAATCTTTTCTGTCATTATTAATTTCAAATTTAATATTTAAACTATTTGATATGTACATTTCTTAAAAGATTTAATAATTATTTTACTGAAAATTCTTTTCATGAATTCTTAACTCATAAACATATATTATTAATTTAACACATTGCAAATTTTTATAGCAATTTCTCTAGCATTACCTTTATTCATCTATATATGTTATTCTTTTTATAAATTATCTTTAAATAGTTTATTTATAGTAATATCAAGTAGTTAACATAAACTAAATCAAATCAGTTAAAATTACTATCAAATCAAAATTATTTTCTTTGAATTTCTCTTTAACTGATTTTTTAAATATTCTTTAAAAGAATCATAAACCATTATTGCTAAAACAGATTCATTACTTAATTCATATATTATTAAAATAATCAACATAATACTTTATTAAATTAATATCTATTTAATTATTATCCTAAAAATAAATAAATATATTAGATAAAATTTATTCTTTATATGATAATCATTTTTCTTTAAATAAACAGATCTTGTTTCATTTATAAAAAAATTAAAAATTTTAAAAAATTCATTATATTTTTAAAAATTAAGTAAATTCCTACTTGTAATATATTATTAATATGTAATCTTTTAAATTATAATACTTAGTTGTAGTATTTGAAAGTTGATTCTTTTATAATTCATATAATAAATCAATAGTTAATAAATCAAGTGAATAATTCTATTATATATTATAAGGTATATTTAAACTTAAAATTAATAGTTCTATATATACTATAAAATATATTCAAATCTATGATGAATTGAATGTATAATTCAATTATATTTACTAAGTATATTTAAGCTATATTAAGTTAAATAGGTTATTTTATTATACTTTTAAGTATATTTTATTAGTTAATCAAAATTAAATATTAAATACGTTATTTAAAACAGTGATGAATTTTAAATATATTTTTAGATTTTAATAGTTTTGGATAAGATTTTGAACATAAGAAAAAGTGTTCAAATCTGTTCAAAACTATTTAAAATTGTCCAATTGCTTAACACTGATTTAAAAGGATTTTATATAGTCAATTTAATCTTATTGAATTTTCTGAACTGAACAAATTTGGAATAAAATTACATTATAATTTCCTTTTTTAGAAAAAATAGCATGTAATTATATATGGTTACTAATCTCTTCTTGTGTAGTAAAAAGAAATTTTTCTGCATATAATAAAATTTAGATGATGATAGGTAAAATTTAAGTCTAGAATCACTTAAATATCTTACTATAATGTATTTTAATAATCAAATAGTAATAAATAAATACAATTTTTATTAGAATAAAATTAGAATTTTGCTACTATTGTGATAAAAATTTATGATTTGATATTAGAATTTTTTTAGATTTCTGTGCTGACTGCAATAAAATTAGATAAAGTAAATATTTTATAGTGTAAACTCAATAGCTGATATAGCTCAGAAAATATTTATTAATAGTAACTCGACTATTTGTGAATTTATTATTACCTATACATAAGTTTATTAAAACTATTACATATATAAAAATAAAGTATAACGGACTTGTTTATATCACTTTATTGATCATTTATTAATCATATATAAATACTGGTTGAAATAAAAAAATCAGACAATCGAAAATCGGCTTAAAATCAGCCTAAATCAGCCTAAAATCGGTCTAAAATCGGCAAATTATTAAAAATCAGCCTAGCCAATTGGCATACATCAGAAATCAGCCAAGAATCAGCTAAAATTCGACCTATCTTATTTATAGCTGATTGGCATACTTATAGCCGATTGGTATATATCAAA